CGGGTCCGAATTTCCGAAGGATTTGGATGGGGATTGTTTTTATTTTGAGTTTTTTTGTTTTTAGTTTTTGATTTTTGGTTTTTGGATTCAATAATATTTGTAAACCCAACAAAAGTAGTTTTTGGATTTTCATTGATTTTTTTTTAATATCAAAATGACTTTCCAATTTTTTTAAAAGTAATTTAATAAAATTTTAAGATATTTTTTTTTGGTTTTTGAATTTTAAAAACTCTAACTTTTTAAGGTCACTAGTAGTAATTGCGGTTAAATTGAAGGGTTGGTTGATGTAGTTGGACGAAATGTAAAATCGTAATTTATGAAGTTTTCAATAGCTATGGTTACAACCGAAAAAAATATATATTTCGTTCGGAAACAAATTTCGTGGGAGTGGACCATTAGATATAGTTGGTATTAAATTATCATTTGACAAAATTGACTTAGTAACTGTAGAAAAAAAGGAATCATAAATGGCATTTAAATACATATGTATAACAAACGCAGAAAAATGAAAATGCCCCGCACTACGCAATTCACAAAACTCTTACTCCCTCCCTTTCAAATTAGTTGACGTTTTAACTTCTTTTTTTACAAATTTTAAAAAATAAAAATAAAAAAAGTCACATTATTCAATATATAAAAAATGACGTGATCTTAAATATTGTTATTAGAATTTGATATTTTTTTATTAAGGACAAAATTGACATTTTTGTAAGAAAAATATCTAGAATTACTATCATTTTGAAACAGAAAAAATAACATAAAACGTCAATTAATTTGAAACGAAGGGAGTATTAAGTTCGGTCCACACCAAACCCAATAATATTTTGAATTTCAATTTCATATCCCATGTTATTTAATCGGTAAGCGACTGGTTATTTAATTGGGTATTTAAGGATGTGATTTCCCGGTAAAAGAAATTAACCTAGGGCGAATAATGCTACATCACGGGCGCGCTCATTAGCTTTGGGGGCCTATACCCCGATTATTTTTATTAAAAAAAATTAATTTCATTGTAAATTTTAAATAAAAACTAACTTTGTCTCTAAATTTTATTTTGCCACCAATGATAGTTTTTTTTAGGTTCTTCAATGTGTTCGATACAAATAATTTCTTTAGAAAATTCATATATATATATATTCAAACTTATTTTTATTTTACATTTCTTGGAAATATTTTAAATTTTAAATTGTATAGGTAATTTTAGTTATCCGAACGAGATTCCAGCCCTATTCTAAATATTATTTTTTTGGTAATATGTTTTTGGTAAAATATCATTTACTATAATACTATTAGCTCGAGAATCTACGCGCTTGTTTTCGCATTTTTTGAAAAATGTCCAAAATCCATGGACTACCGGAAATTTCCTAGCAGTGGTTTTCACGCGCTGGTGTTGCGCGTGGAATATACCTAGTAGGTCATTCGTACTGGGCTTTACTTCACTAAAGGCCATTCCTGAGCCCAGATAAATCACTTTATGGGCTGACAAGGCCTATAATGGAGCCCATCGGATCACATCCTTAAAATGACAAAGTGAAAAAACATTAAAATATCTTATTATGTTATATAATGAAAAAGTTTTTTTTTTTATAAAAAGATTGGCATTACCATTTGCGTGTATGAATATACGAAACTATATTCGTGTGGATATGTTTATGTATATATGAACAAATTCGTTGGTGCAGATATACACACATTAGAGAATACAATTACATCTGATACATATATAATTAAAAAAAATTAATTGAGCTGAAAATATAAGTACACAGTATAGCTTAAAAAAAATCAAAATACTGATTTCATTCATTTGAAATAATTAAACTAATAAAACGATTAAAAATGTCAGTGATAATTTTATGGGTTTCACCTGATTAATTTATGATACTTTTTCCCCTTTTATTACTATTATTACTACCTTTGAAAGGCTTAATTTTCCCATTCACATGCCCTTTTATGACATCATCTAATAATAATAATAATAATAATAATAATAATAATAATAATAATAATAATAATAATAATAATAATAATAATAATAATAATAATAATAATAATAATAATAACCCCATAATGTCTCTTTTAGCCCAATAAATAATGCATCAATGTCCTTTATGAAACCCAATTCAGTCTTTTAAAAGCGTCTAACCATTTCTCTATACACCTATTTTAGACCATACAATTCTGATATATTTGATATTTTTTCTTAACAATTTTGTTAGAAATGTAGACTATATATTTTGTATATTTTTATTTTTATTATAATTAGTTTTTTTTCTTCTCTTTTGGCATTGGGTTTAGGTAAAGCTGAGAAGAGAAGATGGGGAAAGGGAGGTGCATCCGTGTGCGTATGTCTGTCGCCACTCTTGTCGGCTCTCTTCTCCCCGACACTCACATTTCCCCATATTCCCGTTCCCCTCTTTTCCTCATTATATATATATATATATAATTTGTATTTATTATATATAATTGAATGGTGTTATACAAAAACTATATAATTTACACAATGGACAAATCTAAAGAGAAAAAGCTTTTGTCTCAGAAAAAGACGAATATATTGCACTTTTAAAATGAATTTAGTAGTTAGCAGAAGACCGGAATCCAATACGAGTTTGGAATATAGTTGCACCAATTGGATTGAAAAAAGCGATGTCACTATATATATACAAGTTAAATATGTGATCAATCATATAATAGTGTATCAAATAATGATAAACATGCACATATTTATTTCTTTTTACTTCTACGCGTGTAATAAACTTAGAAAGTCACTCCAAATAATAAGAAAACCATGAACTTATGCATTTTTTTAATGAAAAAAAACTATTAAATTAATAAGTATTTTGCTCTATTCGGATTTAAATATATATATATATAGAGAGAGAGAGAGAGAGAGAGAGAGTTCAAACGGAGTTTGTCGTGTTCTAAGCTATGTAATATATACAAATAATATAAAATGATCTGAAAATAAAAATAATGGATAAATAACCCTTTTAAAGTGGAGACCAAAGAAAGAAGAAGACGGCTTCACGTGTTCGGTAGGGCTTCCATGCACATGTTCTTGCCTCCCAAAAAGATTGTTAAAAATCTTATTCCATTGTTTCATTTATATTTATTTAACCCCGATTCTAGAATTAAATTATTGTATCGGTTTAAATTTGTTTTTTTCATATATTTTTAAATCTACCAGAAAGATCTATATTTCAACAATTGCGTAACAATTATATTTTTAATTCATTTCAACCCTATTTTAGGCCTATCAATACCACAAAAATCAATCATTATAGATATTTCATTTTTTTATGAATGTCTAAACCGCTTAATACAAATAAAAAATATTTATTTATACTCCTATAAGTTAACATCTTGGATACGGTTTGATCCTTTCCCTTAATAATTCGGATTTGGTTGTAATATTTGATTTGATATTAGATAGACAGATATATTAATTGTAATTGTATACCTAATCAAATATGTTAAATTAACATTTACGACTGTAGATCTCAGTAATAATATCACGTTTTATTAATTTCCTATACACGTATACGTATTTATATACATATGATTTTCGTTTATGTAACTTTTTTCGTATATTATATAGTTCATTATGGTAACTCGAAGTTATAAAACAAATCAAGCATTGATTAAAATAATAATCAATTAGGGTTGGTTTTGATCATGTTCAATGTGTTACCACGATCCCTGAATAAGCGACAAAATATCCGGTCAATGGATTCGAATGATTAGCAGTTTACAACTAATCATGTAATTTAATTTAATTACTTGTATGCATTTGATATAGACAGCCGAATTTCTGTAACAGCAGTTATATCGAATCTCATCGTAGGTGATTCGCGGTGGAATTAACGGCGTTAAATAATCACGTTCACCGAATCTAGCAAATCGACCGGCGCATATCTTTAATTACTTTATATATATATATACACACACACACTCACATATCCAGATCCTAGATATGATTTGAAATTGCGATATTTTAGAGATTAATAATAATTCAAAATGGTAAACCAAAATAAATCGATCGAAATTTCCTTTTTAATTTTTTTTTTATCAATGTATCCGCAAAGAATAGTGTATATATATGTCTATGTACTGATGTATATATATCGACGTCATGTTAATATATGTCATAATTGTGTTAGATAAATGTTATATAATCATAGACATACATGCACGCATCACATACAAACATACATACATTACAAAAAAAAAGTGTTATAGATAAGGGGATAGAAAATAATTTAATGAGTGGATCATATGAGAAACCCCAAAACCCATCATTACATCCACATTTTATGTTTGTAGCTTCCAAGACAACCAATGAATTATAAAAAATTGCAATAATAATAATAATAATAATAATCTCAACATTTCTTTAGTCTGTCACAATAACCAAACCAACACTGCAACACATGCTTCACTTTATGCTTCATCCAACTCCTCTCACGTTGCATCTATTTGTTCATAAAATAATTTTTAGAAGAGGGGCCAATTCAATTTACAATTTACCCTCTCGACTAAATTCATTCAACCCATAAAGCATATATATCTAAGTATGATTATGTTATATATATATATAAACTAGATGTCCACATGCTTAGAATTGTGGGTCCACACACATATCGCATGAGGACTTGAACAGGAACAGTCAAAAACACTATTTGAGGTCATGATTTGAATCAATCATCAACTATAAACAGCTCCCTTTGCTGGCTTGATCATACTTTATAAATATAATATAAGCTTTTCATAATCTTAAGACTAAAATTAGAATCTCATCTGCACTCGTAAAGCCCAATCGCCAGCTATTTGTCCATTTCGCCCCTCTGCCGAATCCCCTCCAAGTCTAAATCACCCAAAAATATTTCCATCATCTCGAAATTTCGGCAACTACTCTATGTATAATATATCCGCTTTTTTTTATTCATTTGATATATTTACTTGCAAACAATTATACAAATTATATAACCTTCCACATTGCCAAGGATTTATAATTATAATTATTATTTCATCGAAGCATTGGAACTAAACAGAAGCGACGAAATACAGACAATAACTAGGAACAGTATACAGATTATATAAAAAAAAACTTGAAAAAATATAAATTGGAAGAAAATAATAATCCATAAAAAATCAATCTCTCTTTCTTGCCAATACATCTGTCTGAGAATATATATCGATTTATCAAGCGATTAACGAGTCAGAAGAAAACGATTAATTTAAAGAGGATAAAAAAAAGGAAATTAAAAATTGTTCAACCTCTGTACAAAGGAGACCGTTGCTGAAACACCATCTTAGACATTCTGGATTGTCGGAAAACCTTGATTGGACTCGGAAAGTACCATCCTTTCCCCTTCCCGGTCGCCGCCGGCGAGAATCTTGATTCTCCGGCGTCGGGAACCGCCATCGATCTCGACTTCCTCATCATCGCCGCTGCAGACGACGCCGTTTTGGCCTCTCCCCTTTTTCCCAATAACATCCTCCAAAACGACACCGTCTTGCCGTCCCTCCCCTTACCCGACCCGGTTTCGGGGTTCGGATCCGGGTTGCTCGACCCGACAAACGGAACCGCCATGGATTTCGATCTCCGAAATGCGGGCTCGCACTCGATGAGGCTCGCGACTCTACCAACGGACCCGATCCCGACGAACGGAGCTTCTTCTCCGTCCAATCCGACGCCGGAGACGCCGGGGTACGAGAAGAGAGAGGATGAGGAGGAGGAGAACGAAGAAGACGGAGACACGGCGGCGCGTGAGCTGCACGAGCAGGGGAGCGAGTGGGCGCAGTCGGGGCAGAGAGATGAGAGACGTTCGTGGAGACAAATCGGGCAGACGCCGCTTCGTCGCCATTTCGATGGGTGCCTCAGGCATTGCCAAACGTCATCGTCCGCCATTTTTTTTTTTTTTCCTTTCCTTCACTTTCTCGCGTTTGGTCTTTAGGCGCAGAGGTTTTATATAAAGAAGGATTCCTGATTAGTTAACTAATATACAATATAAGGAAGCTTTGCTTAACCGTGGTTAATTAATACGGCGTTGGGTCACTAACCAGGGTTTTACTTGGGCTACAAGCGCCGAATCATATGCCTTGGGTGATCGAAACGGTGCGTTTTCGGTTGCTAATGAGATGGCCCCTGCGTTTGAGATCAATTACATGTTTGCCATTATTAGCGAGGGCCGTTTTAGCTTATCCACGTGTGATTATGGTGCACCGCAGTCGCATATGACTTATGGATATGGTTCCAATATTTATTTGTTAGTTCTGTATTGTTATTTTTTTCGTAAACATACGCATGTGTATAAAATAATTAATATTTTGAAATATCTTAGCTATTAAATTAATAAAAATTATAATAATTATATCGGATGAGTGCACGGAACAAATTTTGAAGCGATACGTGTAGAAATTTCATAAAACACTGACAATAGACACGATCTAAAAGCATATGCTAGAAAAAGACACTACGAGAGACAGGTTTCACTTCCAAGACATCGACCATACCTAGCTAAGCTTCACAGCCACTTTGTATCGTTACATTATTAATTCATTATATATATATATTTTGATAATTCATAAATTCACCGGACTTTTGATCCGACTACATCTTCCAGACGGAAAAATTTAGGTGGATGCTCCTCTCCATGCTTAGACTTGAACCCAGGGTAGGAGTATGTTACCACTATACCACCCAAGTTTGAGTTAATTCATTATATATATATATCCATATTTTCGGTTTATTTTTCTTTCGTTTTGGAATTCGCCAAATGCAAGCATGTAAAATTCAAAATATAACAGCAAGCACGTAAAATACTGTTCCAAATCATTTAAAAAAAAATTGAAAAACCATAGGCGATATTTTCTCCAGAAGACTCGGCATGTTCGCAATTTAATTAAAATAAACTGGTTCAGAATTATCTGATGGGCTTTTGACAACATGGGCTTCAGGACTTGTGAATTAATGGGCTCATTTTAATAGTATTAAGGCCCAACAGTTCCGAAAGGCTTTCCTTCACAATCACAGAGAAAATGGGACCAAACTGGTGGGTACAATGAGTTTGGAAAGGCATGATACAACACGCATGGATATATACACACACACAAATATATACACATGTATAGTATATATATATATATATGTTATTAACGTTGTGTACATGTGAAGTTAGGCCACGGGTACTGTAGCGAAAGAAGGTGGATTCGTGAATCACGGGACAAGTGGGTTTTATCCCACGTGGCATTTAAATATTGCCACTTCCCACGAATAGCCACCTTCCATATGGACACGTGGCTCTCATCCGAGTGATTAGAACTTGATCTCTCTCTTTTTTTTTTTTTGGGTGTTCCACTCAATAATTGGAGCTCGAGAATTCAATTACGCAATTAAAAAAAAACACTATTATTGCGATCTTTTGCAATTCTATGAATAATATTTGCTATAATGCTTTATTTGGGATTTTTTGCCCTTTCAATCATTTATGTACCTTTTCAAAGCGACGTTGTGTGTTATCTCAAAACCGAGCAAAGATTACAAAAAATATTAATATCCCCGACATCAAAATAAAAAAGCTAGAAGAAAAATTACAAAATATATATTTTTGAAGTAAAAGGTTATAAACATGTTATTCGATAAAAAAAAAGGGTTAATATAATTTTAAATATAATATAACATGTTATTCGATAAAAAAGGGTTACTCAATATAATACTATTTGTAATTATGAAAACAGATCGGGAAGTTAACCGATAACTGAAAATGGGGTCCCCTGGAGGTCAAACACCGAAAATGGTACGAATCACGCACGAATATATATATATATATGTGTGTGTATGTGTGTGGAATATGGAGCGAAAAAATAAAAAATAAAAAATCCCTTAACCGGAGAAATAATGGAATTATATACGCAGACATGCATGCGAATTTACTACAAATAATTCATTAGTAAGGCAAGGCAGCGGTACGTTAGAGCATATATATAGATAGAATTGTATTATGAATTTATGATTATAAACATAAGTCCAATATCTAATCTTAGATATATTTTAAAAAACAATGGAGATGAGAGTCATATTCCCACTCGGTACAAGGTGATCAAATTTATTTATTTAAAAAAATAATAATATTCGATGAGATGATATGATTTCGTAATAAAACGGGGTGATTCATATATTATTAATACCGGAAAAAATCTCAAAACAATAAATTATCTTTATTTTTTATCAAATAAAACCTCGATCAAGTTATAAATAAAAATAAATTTTATAACATTTATCATTTTAAACTAACGTGGAATGTTAATATCGTTATATACGTGTATAATGACGTGTCAAATATGATTAAAGTATTGATTTATTATATAAGACATCGATACGTCAATATTCAGATTTAAAAATGATAACGATTATAAATTTCGGATTTATTTTATTTAGATTTTATTTTATGAAAATTAAGAAATTCAAGTATTTTTTAGGATCTTTTTCTTAATATTATAGGTACAACTAGGGTGGACAATTGGTCGGGTTCGGTTATTTCGGGTTCGGGTATTTCGGATTTGAAATATTTATATCCAATCGGGTATATTATTTTAATCGGTTCGGGTTCGGATTCAGTTCGGTTCGGATCGAGTTCGGTTCGGTTTATCCAAACAAAAAAACGATAAAAAAATTCAAACAATTACTTTATAAAAATAACAAAAACAATATTAAAATACATGCATATTTCGTTTTTTTATATATTATGATTATAAAACAATATCATTATACTATTTTTTTCTAATTATATTTAGAATATATTACATATTAATTGATGATATATAGATGGATAAACGGATATTTTCGGTTATGGTTAATTCGGGTTCGATTTATTCGGTTTACGGTTATTTCGGATTCGGTTATTTCGGGTTCGGATATTTCGGATTTGAAATATTCATATCCAATCGGGTATATTATTTTAATCAGTTCGGTTCAGTTCGGATATTTATCGATCGGGTTCGATTCGGTTATTCGGGTTCGATTAGTTTGCCCACCCCTAGGTACAAGCCACAAAAAGGATAATAATGGTACACTTGTATAATACAAAATCTGTTTTATATTGTTGCCAGATCGTTTACAGAATCAAACAAAATGCATTCTCGAGATTATTTCGCTTTCCAAAATATTATAGAATCCAATTTTTTTTTTTTAAATTAATTTTCGCCATGAAGATTTCCTTTCATAATGACTGTGTTTTTCATGCATTTAATTTAAAATTAAAGTCACAGAAATAATGTGTCGTTTATATTTATTTTTAGAAGTATAAAAAAGCGTAGTTTTTTTTGTTCCAGTTTTACGCCAAATTAACGTAAGAAATAAACAGCCCATATTTTTATTTTGAATAAAAATGATGTAAAGAGTATTTTGAAAAAACGGCATACATGAGAATAAGTAATTACATTTATTGTGGTAGTTTTTTTTTTATAATGATTGTGGTAATTTTGTTAAAGTAAAATTATGGTTTTTTAAAATTTGGATTCACTGTCATTGATATTTGACCCGCTGCAATAGCAGTAAGGTATTATCGGTCGGTCCATCTCACTTTATAAAATTTTGACAATTAATATTCGAAATGTTTTTTTTGTTAACGATAAATATTATATATATAAACAATCGTACAGTAGATTACCAAACGGTAATACATATATTAGAATACATATATTAGAGTTCACAATAGTAAAATAAAATAACGAAGGTAAGAAAAATGAAAGTGAAAAAATAAGTCATAGACGCATAAAAATGATAACTAGAAGTGGTGTATATCTTGCAAGTGGTTGGTGTTGCAAGATAATAGTCACTGAAATTTACTTTTTCTCATTCGAGCTTTTCCGACCGATGTGAAATCGGTGGGATCAAGTGGGATGTTGACAACACGAAGACATAGCATACGTTGGTCTACTTGGACTGCACCGGTTGCGGAGGAACGCACTCGTAAAATTCTTTGCGTTTCTGCCACTAGTTCCTCATCTGAATCAAAGTTGAATCTTGGATAAGTCTTGTTTTCGATTGGATATCGAGCGGGCGAAGGTGAGACACTTGGAGTGAATTTCTCGTCTCTTGGGGGAATGTAAGTCCCTTGGGATGGGATAGCTACCTGATCAGGTGCAGCCTCAATTTGATCATTAGGCGTTGCAATGTTATTTCGATTTTGTACCATGTTAAATTATATTGGCATATGATTTATGAAAGATATAAAAGCGTTGAAAAATATTTTCAAGATTTAGGTGTTGAATGGTAGGAGCTTTTAGAGTTTTTGGATTTCCAAAAGTGAAAAAACCAACAATCAAGTTTCTTTTAATTTGGTTTTCCTAAAAACCCGGAAATCTACTTTATGAAAAAAATCAACTAAAAATTAAAAGCCACATTTTTTTGGATTTATAAACTTTTAGAATCCAAAAGCCAAAAACCAAAAACCAAAAACCAAAAACCAAAAACTAATACCATTCAAAGCCTTATATAGAAAAAGGCCCGATAAACGTGGGCTAGTGGCGTCGATAGATGCGGAGTGAACCGATCCAACACAACACTTTATTTAATTTATTAAATACTGACGCATTATTTATAAATGTAATATATCAGTGACAAAAAAGTTTACAAAGAACATTTGCTATCACATAGAGAAATTGTATTATTAGCTTAAAAATGAATTTTCTTCTTACCTAATCAATCAACTAATGATATCAAAATTCCATGTTTCCCGGAAATAGCGAATTTTATATGCATGTAAAAAATATAATTTCGTGTAAATAAAAAGTAATTATATCATCCAACCAATCAGCATTTAATTTATTTATATTAGAAATCCGGTTTTCCCTTTCATCGATTGTTATAAAAGGCTCAATGAAGATGGTTGGCTATAATCAGTCCTCAAATAATTGTAAGCAGACTTTATAATATTCATTCGTGGGGTTAGTCCACATTTCCATACATTATTTTACGCAAAATTAGTTGAAAAGAAGGCTTCCCCATTTAATTTTCTCTGCTGCACTTATCATTTATTCAACGGATTATAACCATTTTTAATCGATTAGTCTACAATTCCATATATCATAATGATTTCAATCGGTCGCCGTTGACCAAACGAATCATACGTCTGTTTTTACATGTGTGTATATATATTTGCAGTGTTCACATTCGCGTTGGAAAATGCGAAAGCAGTCGAAATTCACAAAGTCCATTAATATAAGGACTCAATAAATCAGGAAACAATAAATAGTTTAGGGATTAGGACATAACATATAATTGATTGGTTCGTGGAACTATAGAATAAGATAATGTCCACTGATTGGAAATGTCGTATCTTTCTTTTTCATATTCACTGACTTGTATGCAATAAATAAATAAATAAAATGGTTAGTGGCGATTCCACATTGTTATACAAGATTTAACAAGCGAAATAAGGGTGTCGAGCAACAAATATTTCATATGTAAGCCCGTTTTTCTTTTTGTTAATTATATTGATATTTTTACATTTTTCATTTTTTTTTGTTACTTTAGTAACATTGAGAACGAGATATTTTCGATTGTGATTACGAGAAAAAAAAATAAACAAGGGGAAAGGAAAAAAAACGGAATTAATTCGGAAATATTTATTTAATAGCATGTGAAAAAGAAAAGCAAGAGGACGAAAAACAAAGTTTTAATCAAGGAAAGGAGGAGGTGGGTTCAGTGGATCCTCCAGAGTCCAGACCAATCTCTCTCTCTCTCTCTCTCTCTCTCTCTCTGGGAATTTTAAAACTGGAAATCGAAAATCAGGAAGCTACTGTAAGAGAAATCAAAACCCAAGAGCAGAAGAGTCATGGTAAATCCACAAATGGAAAAGAGTATCGTTTTCTTGTTCGAGTGATTGGAAAATTCTTTTTTTTTTTTCTTCTCAAACGGGTAATCTTTAAAATTTGTTTTAGAAACGCTCTGCTGTTCTTCGGAGAACAGATTCGATCCCAACAATTACGCCTCATAATGGTTTGTTCATTGCAACCATTGATGATTGAAAAAAGTGCATCCTTTCTTTAAATGGGTTCTCTTTGTTCTGTTTTTTTTCTCCTTCCTCGGAGTTTTCAAATCCAGTTGCGGACATTTGACAAGGCTCGGGAAATTGATTTCAGTTTGCGATTGGTATTTTTGGTAATTCGGGCAATTGAAATTTGTTTTTTTTTTCAGATTTGAGTTTTTTTTATAAATCAGGTCGGGAAATGCTCTGTTTTGAGTTCCGACAACGAGCCGGATTGGGTTAAGAACACTTCTGAATGATTAATCGCAGCTTCTATCATTGTCGTTACGACTCTGCTTTCAGAAAACGATCAAAACTTTCGTTTGTTCCTCTTTTTTCTTCTTCTGGGTTTTCTTGTTCCAGAACAATTTTCGCCATTAATGGCCACTGAATCTGATTTCATTTTTAAACTGTCTCATCGTCTCTCTCACAGAGCATAATTACAGTAACTCCTCCTGGGTACTTTTGTTCCTCTCTCTCTCTCTCGTCTCACCGTATTCCTCGCCATTAATGGCATCTGTTTTTTTTTTGGGTGCAGGGAGGTTGGGGAGGAGAAGAAGAAGAAGACAACAGGTGGCCGCCATGGCTGAAACCTCTGCTGAGAGAGAGATTCTTCGCGCAATGCAAATCCCACACTGATTCTCACAAGAGCGAATGCAATATGTACTGCTTGGACTGCACCAATGGCCCTCTCTGCTCTCTCTGCCTCTCTTTCCACAAGGGCCATCGCGCCATTCAGGTAAACCGGCTCGGTTATGTCCGGTGCGATTCCGGTTTAGGTTCCTCGGAGAAGGAAAAACCTCCCGAGTCTTCTTTACACGAAATCCACCAGTTTCGGGTTGCCAGATCTTCGATTCTGGTCACGGGAAAAGTCTCTGTCTTTGGTTTTTGATTACTGTTTGAAACATCTTTTTAGGTTGTTGTCGGGGTTTGATCATGTGTTCGTGTTCTTTTTTTTTTTTTAATTCGGTTTACGAGGAATTCAGGCGTTTCATCCACAACAAAAAAAATTGAAAAAATTCAGATCCAAAAATGTCAGCTTTTTTCTGTACATACGTTTTACCTTTTTGAATTAAATGTTGTCTGTTTATTAACTGAACCCATCAGTCACCAATTCCAGATCTCTCATACTATGTAGTTTCTCCATTTGCCCCCTCGGGAAATGAGGGAAAAGTGATGGAATTTTCCCGAGAAAATGTGGGAAAAACACTCGATCAGGGTCTCTCGAGTTTTGGTGGTGATTCTCAATCTGGGTTGTTTTTTTTTCCTGGTTCAATGCAGATAAGGAGATCATCGTACCACGACGTGATTAGGGTTTCAGAGATACAGAAGTTTCTGGACATAACTGGGATTCAGACATACGTCATAAACAGCGCTAAAGTTGTCTTCTTGAACGAGAGACCTCAGCCTCGGCCAGGCAAAGGAGTCGTCAATACTTGCGAGGTCTGTTTCCGCAGCCTTGTTGATTCCTTCCGCTTCTGCTCCCTCGGCTGCAAGGTACGTCCTCTTTTTCTTTTCTCGGGAAAATCCGGGGGGAAAGTGAAAGAAACTAGGGGAAAACACAGGGCGAGTGATTCCGGATCTTTTTTCTGTCCGGTTGACGAGAAAACGAAAGAAAATTCAGGGTCAATGCAAGAAGCTTCATCCCTAAGCAAAAACCACATGTTCTTGGGTTTCCACGTTTTTGGAAAAAACGGGGAAAAGTACTTTGAAATTTCCAAAAGCACTATCCCTCTTCACTGACTTTTAAAAATATATATATTTTTTTTCGATCAGATAAATGGAACGTCCAAGAATTTTCAGAAGAGAAACAGCGTGTCGGATTCGGATGATTCGTACAGCAGCAACGGTCGGAACAAGAAGAAGGACGGTAACATAAGCAGCGGCAGTAACTTCACGCCGTCGACGCCTCCTCCAACGTCTTCAAAGCGAAGGAAGGGAATTCCCCGTCGTGCCCCTTTCGGGGGATTCGTCGTGGAGTACTAAACAAGGGTAATATAGTAACTTCACACTTGTATTTACCGGCTTTACGGGTGTATATGTGTATGTATGTATATATCTATGTACATGCATGTATCATATAATGTAATTTTAAAAAAAAAAAGCTTTAACATCACTAGAGTAGATTCGAAGTGGAAAGGAATATGAATGTAAGATATAGAATAGAATGGATGGGAATAATGGTTTCTAAACAAAAGAGTGAGTGATACATATATATATATATACTGCTTTGTATAGTTTGGTTCATGGACATAATTGTAAATATAGAATAGTTAAGTGAAAGAATGATTAGTCGTTTGTGGGAGTGAGATCTTATGTATGCAAGTGGGAAATGAAATAAAAGCATTTTCCTCCACCAAACTCCTTTTTTTTATGTAAATCTATTTTATGAAACTATTATATATATATATTTACGAAATTGACTATTTTTTAAATAATATTTTGATCAGTTGTTAATAGTCGCGTTTTTTTATGAGCGTTGTCCGGATGATTTAGCTCAAAAATCATGTGTGGCGAGCAATTACATATACACTTTGTAAAATTAAAAAGAAAATCACATATAAATATCTAAATTTTTACAAAAATCTAAAATAAATATTTGAACTATAAAATTTTTATATAAATATTTGAATTTTTCTAAAATCCTACATAAATATCTAGATTTCTGAAAAATTTCCGAATAAATCCAAAATCTATTAATAACATTACATATTTTTATTTTAAAACATATGAGATTTGTATTTATTTAGATTTTTTTAAAATCTAGGTATTTATATAAGATTTTTAAAAATTTAGATATTTATATGAAAATTTTATAATTCAGATATTTATATAGAATTTTCATAAAATTTTCGGTATTTATATGTTATTTTTTTTAAATATAACAGAGAGATTCATATCCTCATCGCATGATTTACAAGTATAAGCCACGTGTCGATTTACGGTTGGTTGATGGTGATGATGGCATGCGTGTGTCATGATGTTTGCCAAACCCACCAACGCGACATAAAATTGTTTGACCGATTGTCCAACATCAATTAAAATAAAAATAATGCGGTGGTCATTAAATATTATTATTATTATTAGGGGTGATAATTATAAGGTCAATTGGGTAATTAATAAGGGCTTGATTGGTTAATCAGGGAATTGGTGACAAACATCTCCAACTTTTTCACCGGCCATATACATGAGAATTTGTCGTCTTCATTAAAATCATATTTTAAATCAGTTAATTACATACTCTTATTTATATAACTAAATATACGACCCTAAAAACTTAAATCTTTATAAGGAAGGTCATCAGACACATATTAAGCTTCATAACTTGCCACGTGTCACCATGACCTGTCAACCACTTGAGATTCCACTTGAGATTGGGGAGGAGGAGATAATTCCACTTGACACTGAGTGTTCGATTTCTGGTCGGTGAAGAGTGAATAATTTTTGGATTTATATGATACATATACAAAGACTGTTATCGGGTTGGAGATTTACCTAGTTAGGACACCCAAAGAATAGCAACTACGCTACTACGTTATAAAAAAAAACACGAAGAAAAGAAGACCAGCCATCCCTTTAGTTAAAACGAAAAAGAAAAAACAGGAACAGAGAGAGGGGAGATGTCGGCGTCGAATCTGGACCTACACGA